GGTGGTCCAATCGCACAATTTCTCAGGAAGCCCATATGAAGGGAGCTTCGAAAGAAGCGCTTTGTGCCAAACCCGATCGAAGGCCTTCGCAATGTCCAAACTAGCGGCCAATGCCTCCCCCTTGGACTCTACTGCCTCCGCCCATCTGTGAGTTAGGTAGACCAGTAAGATCACCAGGCTGACCGACCACGGCGAAAACCGTATTGGCGGTCACTAATCAGCTGGTGATCCTCAAGGTACCTCATGAGCTGGCAGTTTACAATGGACTCCATTGTTTTGGAGAACAAGGAGGTGATGGCGATAGGCCGGTAGTTGGACGGGTCTGAGCGGTCGCCTTTTTTAGGGATCGGGTGGACGAAAGCCGTCTTCCATGATTTTGGGACTACGCCTAGGGAGTAGGAGTACCGGAAAAGACGCGTTAAAACCGGTGCCAACTCTGGAGCACAAGTCCTCAGCACAATTGGGGGGATTCCGTCAGGCCCACTCGACTTGTGGATGTCCAGGGAGAGGAGTGCTTTGTAAACCGAGCGCTGTGTGAACTGCACTTCCGGCATGGAGCACTCACACCGCGGGATGGTCGGCGGCGTACTCCCCCCGTCATCGAGAGTCGAATTGGACGCAAAGAAAGAGCCTAGAAGATCGGCTTTCTCCTTTGCGGTATGGGCCAGTGAGTCATCCTCCCTGTGCAGAGATGGAAAAGATGGCTGACAGAAATTCCCCTGGACAGCCTTGGTGAGAGACCAGAATGCACCGGTTTCAGAAGGAAGGCGAACGAGTTTCTCGCCAATTCTGCCTATGTGCTCTGACTTTGCCTTGGCAATGACTCTTTTGAAGGACCTAGGGGGCGGAATTATACTTCTTTTTTGGAGCGCTGGTGTTCACATCCCGGGACGCTGATGCGTCAGCCCAGGCTTGGTAGCACTCCTGCTTATAGCATGATGCTGTTTTACGGGAGCGACCAAACCATGGCTGAGATTTGCCTCCAATGGGCACCACAGAGGAAGGAATAAAAAGTTCCATACCCTGAAGTACCACATAGGACAGAATCCGCAACAACGTTGGGATCGTCGGCGAGAAGCAAACCCGCCCCCAAGGGTAGGATGCAAAGAAAGACCCCATCCCATCCGAATTGGCAGACCTATAGTGCCAAACACGGCGGCAGCCTGCAGAATGCAACTGCGATTTCAGCGTGAGTGGCACCACAATCCGAACAAGACAATGGTCCGAGGAGCCTAAAGGGGCGTCGACGGAAATCTGATATCCGTCCGGGTGAGAGGTCAGCAGAAGTTCCAACAGGGAAGGTGCATGATCCTCCACATCTGGAATCCGCGTAGGCGAAGTAACCAGTTGTGTCAGACCATATGCCAAGGCAAAATCATGAACAGATCTCCCCGCATGATCGGTTAAACGTGAACCAAGCCATTCGGCGTGATGGGCGTCAAAGTCGCCGAGGATAACGATCTCTGCGGAGGGGATCTGCTGTAGCAACGAATCTGTAGCCTTTTGGACGTGGTCGAAGAGTCGGTCTGTTTCGGCAATACCGCTATGGGACCTATAGAGGACCCGTATACGCGCGGATGGTCGTCGCTGTCTACGCGTAGCCAAAGGATGGACATGTCCGAACCTTAAAGACTCCCGAGGCGTCGAGAACAGATGTCTTCTTTGACGTAAACGCAAACTCCAGCCCGAGGCACAAAGGAGTGTTCCAGTTTGTACCCTGGGTAGGAGAGATACGAGACATCAGCTGGAGAGGACACCTGAGTGTCCTTCAGAATGAGCAGAGCCGGCCTCGCCGTCTCGAGATGGTAGTGGACGGCGTTAAGGTTAGAGTGAAGTCCCCTGATATTGCAGAAATTCACGGATAACGTGGCAGGGGTCGCCTTGGTCTTGTTGCTCCGTTTGCCCCGAGCAGTTGTAGTCTTGAGCGGAATTTTGCCCCCCCCCCCCTCCCCCCAGAATACGCGGGGCAGCCTGAGCACCCACGCTCAGAAGTGGAGAAACGTGGTCGTGGATGCTCAGCGAGGGATTCTCCTGGGGTGCTGGTACCCTCCTGGGGTAGTCTATCATCATTTAATTCCGCTACCATGTTCATGTGGGGGGGGGGATTTGGGCCTCCGGCCACCTGCACTCCAGACGAAACGCGGAAGCAGAGCTTCCACTTCACGCCGGTATTCTGTGAGGTTGTGGTACCACCCCGGTTTGAGCCGGCCCATCACCAAACTCCGCGTGGCTCTACCACTGTTAAAAACCAGATGTGTCAGACCAGGTGTGTTAGACCAGATCTTAAGTGATTTATTGTGATAAAGAGTTTCGAGGGTCAATCGGGCTAGGCTTCTTAGGATTCCACAAAATGGCTCAGGTCCAAATTGTGTGCACTTTGAGCCCTCCCTTGCAAGTTAGTCGGCAAATTCGTTGTCAACAATGACCCTCGTGACCCGGAACCCATCTTAAAACGACCCTGTTGTTACACCCCAGGGCGTTTAAACGGTTCACGCAGTCTCCAACTAGCTTTGAGTTCACTAAGTTTGACCTCAGCGCTAGTAGTGCTGCTTGACTATCAGAGTTTATGTAATTTATATGGTTAACGTAGTGTTTTTGCAGATTGATTACCGCACACCGAAGTATAGCGAAAATTTCTGCCTGGAAGATAGAGGTGTATCTACCCAAAGTCATACTAAGAATTTGGGGCGTTCCCCGTAAATTCCAAAGCCTACGTCGAGGCACATTTTAGACCCATCGGTATACCATATAAGGCTACCGACCTCACAGATAACCTGGCCATTCAGCCAGTCTTCTCTGTAGGGTAATTCCACTTATATACACTATATTATCAAAAGTGTGTAGTGTATACCTGAGATCATGCATAAGACCGGTAATTCCTTGATTGAGTCGAGCATGCATCTCAATATGTAGGAGAGCAAGCTCAGACCGCCCTAGGCGTTAATCCTATACAAACTAGCCCTCGCCTCCTTGTCTAGATAGAGATCACGGGGCGTTAGGCATAGAAGTACATTAAGAGCCGCTCTAAGCGACGATCGCATGGCTCCAGTTGCCATTAAGCAGGCAGTCTTTTGTAGACTGTTTAGTCTGTCCGCAGTCGTCTTTTGGTTGGCCTCGTTACACCAGACAGTAGAGGCGTAGTTGACAATCGGCCTCACTATGCTGCTGTACAGCCATAGGACCATACTGGGACGCAACGCTCCTCCTAATTATACTTTATGTTTATTTCAGAGACGCCCAATTATTGTAACTTATTTACTGTATATATTTGATAGCACATTATGCTCCCGAGTCATAGATGGTTTAAGTCAAAAAAGTGTTTACGTAGCGGAATACTGTCCAAAGATGGAGTACTGCAAAGAAGGAACGCATGTTATGTGCATGTACTACGACAAAGTAAGTTTAGAAAAGGTTTTTTACAGTAAATATTAAACCTATCACGGTCCCTCATATATGTATATATCCCTCATATAAATGTAGTACGTGTGATTAGTACGGGTAATATTTCAAAGACATTGTCGAAATCATTGGGAAACTCTCTCAGAAATAAAAGGTCTGTGCCCAGCAACGGGACGTATATAGACTGGAACTATAACGTGTCCCTTTGTAATCATGATTATCATAAGTTAGGAAATACAATTTGACATGAGATATTGTCCGCTTTGGAATGAATTAATAAAATCACATTATTAATTAATTATAGGTGGTTAGAGAAATAATATCAACATGTAGATTTTCACAGGGTAACATTCTTGTTCCGTGAAGAACCATGAAAATGGAGTATTAGTAGTTAGTAGTAGTACGCTTGTATGTTTAAATGGCTGTGAGTTTTAAGGATGGTCACAAAATCTAGGCATCAATTCGTCGTTAATATCAAAAATCACATAAAGCTGGAACATTGTATCATAGATTTTTGATCCCAGGGTTACTCAATTTACGATATTTTTTCAAGGAATCAATTTGATAGGACAGATAGAAAAAATTTTATCTAAATTTAACATAATTTTTTTTAGTATATTGGAGGCGTTAGAGAAATCACTAGGTACCTAGTATCATCCCGTCATCATCAATACAACATGGGTGTCGTAAAGGTCGGCAGAGGGAAATGAAGTTAGAGATGGGCAACAACATCATTCTGATAAAAATTATTGACATTGATCACAGATAATTGAAAATTCCACTTTTACATACATATTTATATAAAATTACATCATTTTCATATGCGGTAGTCTACTGCTGAACATAGAGTTTCCCTAAGGTGCGATTCGCACGATTTTCGGCTTTATGCACACAATTAATGTCTGCCATGTCGCGCAGGTCATCAAAAGGGCCTATATAAAGGTCGTTCTACATCACGTTCTCATATAAACAAAAATTGTGTCCAATATTAGACTATATGCAACTACTTTGGTTCTTCGGCGTATTTTTCATTTCGAATCTCATCCACCAAAAAACGCCATAGCATTTTCGACCGTCCGCTGAGAATTCAAAAAAAAAAGTTTTGCTATCAAACCGTATAAGCGTTCACGTTTTAGATATGTGAAACAATCAGGACATTTTGATTAAAGAATATTACCTTTTAGCTTTGCGGTGTAAAGACCTAGAATGATTTATAGAACAACGGTGACAAACTGTACAGTACAGTTTTACAGAAAAAAATCCATTCTTGATTAAGAATCAAAATCAGTTTATATCCCATCCTCAGTTACCCTTGAGGACTGAGATAAGATATAGATGGAATTAACAGTAAAATGGGCTTCTGGTTCTCTACACTCACCATACGAAACACAGCATCATTATTTTTCTCCGGGTTTTGCTCCGGTCCAGCTGACCCGTTTTTGCTGCAGCTATATTGGCATACATATGGCTGCAGCTTGGATCTACCACGCAAAAAATATTTTTTTCATAATCATTCGTTCAGAAGTTTATTACATAACATTTATTAACTATTTTCCCAATTCTGTTCTAATCTGTTAAATTTTATTTAATGACAAGTTGTAATGAAATCAACGAAGAAGATCTTAACCAGTTACATGTTTCAGAATAGGAAAATGGGACCAAATTGCGTCAACTACCAGAACTTAACTATTACCCCAGTTTTAGCCACAAAACTACTGGAAATATCTAATGCGTAAGTATTAATAAATTATACATTCCGTGCGCGCTCGATAACCGTACGACTCAAACATCGTTCTATTAACATCATTTATTAGCTGCAGCCCGTAAACATCTTAACATATCAGCTAGGAATGTTGGATTTGGAAGTGAGGTTAGTAAAATTTATATTAAAAAGCGTTTGACAAAGGAAAACAAACTTCTGCTAGCCACGCCTAGGCAACAAGCTAAACAACAAAGCTACAAGTACTTCTGGACAAAAAAACTGTCGAATCCATGTCAGGAGAACGATACCTCACCAGCGATTCAGATAAACTCCTCAGTAGACCTGATAAAAATAATAACATGACTTTGCTTATGCTTTTCTTTTTATATTATTTATACTTTTTTCTGTTGTTTTATTTTTATTTTCTAGTATCATTTTTGTTAGGTTAAATTACTACTACTGTGGTTTTTAGTTGCTGATACTAGTTATATTTTTTAAATACTAACAATACTATAATCATTACTAATATTCCCTTTAACCATTCATGGTAAGCTTAAATTGCTTGTGTGATGAGTGGTTCACGCCAGTAGTCGAATGGTGGATTCGAACCCGACCTCGACCTTTTTTGAGTTCGCGGTCCGGACCCTGCCATTAGGCTACTGTTGCTTCAAAATCTATATGCTTGAAAAATAATATACATAGTATGGATTCGTTAGCTACGCCAGTTAGCTTGATTTTCTAAGAGATGTTCTACAAAACGGATATTTTGCTAAAATCTAAAAAAGAGCTCATATAGTCCCAATAAATAAAAAAGGTTTCCCCAAAATCTACTGAAAATGACCACCCTGTTTCAATTCGTCCTTCAGTGGTTTGTCGGCTATAGTGACTTCAGGTGGCAAAAATCTATGCTACGTCACTAATAACAAGGTATTAAAAATATAAAATCTTTCAACAGACAAGAACAAGTAAAAGTTTTATGCGCCTGTAAATGGTTGTCATCGACTGGGCTTGTCGCAATATGTTGCCAACATATCAAGATTCATTACTGCGTATCGAGGTGATGTTTAAATTGGATCCGAAAACTTATTTCATTAACATATTATTTCGTCTCTATTTTTTCAGAATAAGAAGCAAACTAGCCCTAGGCATGGAAAAAGGAAAAGGCGGCACTCCTTTACCGAAGGCCTACGGAATGTTAAGATTGGTAAGATCCGTTCAAAACAATAAATAAACGCAAGCAAAAATTAACCCCATCTCGTAAACCGTGAGATTAATGTTCTTCTTCCACAGACATAGAAAATAAAGAAATACGATGAACACCTTTTGTATGAATGTTATGTATAAACTTACCCTCTAAGGTTATGATCAATCCGAACCGCGTTGTGAGAATGTAAAATATTTTAACATATAAATATTACAACATATTTTAAAAAATGCAACAGCCACCTAAATCAAAATTATAAAGCAGAATGAAAAACTTTTGATAAATCCAAATGCGTATTCCTTAAGGGCTCATGTACCCTAGAATACACACAAGGGCTCATGTAAATGTAAATTTCGAAATTTAACTATACGTCAAATTTCGGAATTTTTCAGCCGAAAAAAATTAATTATAACTAAATTAAACAGCCATTTACATTCCATGGCTTCCCACATGATAGGTGAAGAGGTCAAAAATAGATTCAGTTGAACAATTGATATTTTCAAAAATTATCGCATTTACCCCTCCATGCGGACTTGATAAATCTACACCATAAGCCACTAAAACCTATTTTATATTGTAAAAATAGCAATTAGTCGATTTAAAAAAAAGTTCAACAATCATTTATCTTTCTGACAATGTGCTTATTACAATATATCATTTATATGTTCAATGTGATTGTTAGATACCTACTATTTCATGCAACAAAACGTTGGATTTTTGATTTTTAGGCGCTAGTAGAACATACCTACGCATTTTGCAATTTCAAGGCATGCAAAACTAAGTTAACAGTTTATTATTATTTATTCAACTCGATTTTAGCCCATATTTCTCACCTCTTTGAATACTAATTTTATTTGGAGTTCACTTGAGGAGAGCACTCAATATAATTAAAAATTTATGTATTAGGATAATAGGACTGTAGAGGATAGCATTTGCTCAGTATTAGACTGGTAAAAAGGGTTTAAATATAAATATAATAATACTAACATTTTCAAATCGTTTTATAGCAATGGGACGAAGAATTGGCAACGTTCGCTCAAGTCTTGGCAAATCAATGTGTTTTAAGACATGATATGTGCAGAGCTTCAAGTAAGTGCTAATATATCTTTTAACCGTTTTCATCACTATTATTGTCCATCACAAATCATTATAAACCATTCATCAACTCGCTGCATTATATATTCGATCATCGCACCATCTAAAACTGAGTTTTACAACATTGCATTGGCCAAGATGAAGCTGCCGCTTGATAAGCTGCATTTCATTACAGCCCTTCACAAGTCCACTGCTGAACATAGACCTCCCCCAAGTAATACCACAAAGCACGGTCCTGAGCCACCTGCATCCATCGACTTCCTGCATGTCTTGCTACCGCACCTACCGCACCTTGCACCCGCTGTAGAACCAAAGTAACCTATAACGTCTAACCGATCAGTAAGTTGAGATGGCAATGGGCCAGTCATATAGTATGAAGAAGCAACAACCGATGGAAAAATAAAGTGTCTTGAGTAGCACTGCCGTTCAAAAGCCTCCCACAAGGAACATCACAAACCACGGTCCTCAGAGACCTGCCTTCATCCATTTTCTGCATATCTTACCATGGCATCACTCCAACTATTGGGGTGTGAATTCAAATTGAATTTTGATGAACGAATTTCTATAAGGTGTATTATTAGCCGTTCTGAGTCTAAAATAAAATACTATAGAATATATTTACTATAGTAGAAGTCACTCCTTTTACCACTGATTCGGAAAGAAACTCTGTCTTTAGAAGAACCATTGAACAGAATTGATGAACAGGATTGAACCTAGTGGGATCCTTTTTAATAATAATTTACAATATATTTATGTTAAATTTTATATTATTTTATTATGGTACAGATGTTTATTCATAACCAAATTATGTATGATAAATGCCCCCACTGTACCTACTCGTACAGGAATAATTCCTAGTTTTGTCTAAATACAAAAACTGGCCAGTAGTTATTCACGGGCACGCTCTGTAACTCCTTGTATAATTTCCAGAAACGTTTCCTGATCCAGGGCAAACAGCCGGTCTAGTGCGGTATACATTTCCAGATTGGAACCCCATGACAAAAGTCCTTCCAGAGGACGAGGGTACTGCACCAGGTCTCAACCAAGCCAAGTTGATATACGCGATCAAACAGAGCACCAAGTCTTGGTACATCCAAAAAGCATCGGTTACACCCGAAATGATCACTAAATACCCAGATTGGTTACAGTAAGTCTTTAAAATAGCATATATTTCAATCACAATAACTGCTAAAGTTCCTTATCGTTCATTGATAAATCCAGAAAGATGTGGTTCTTCGTAAAATATCTAGACTGGTGACGGGAAACAGTGCACAAGGTAAAAGCCGTCTGGTATCACGATTGCGCCAATCTGCTGGCCAGGTGTGGTGATTGAGGCAGTAAAAATTGCCTAATTTAAAACATCTCCCGCGAAACATAACCTCCCTTCATTTTTAGTGGATGACGTTGCACCTACCGTATTAGGTATCACAAAATCTAAATATCTGCGTCGTTTCCATTAAGTTTTAGTATATTTAGAATCATTAACATACCTGTGTCACTCTTGCTACCTGCGTGGTATAAATACCTACAATCGCGCGGAACCTCGGGTTACAAATGCAATCAGAGCTAGCGCATTTAAGAGACGTACTAGTGAATTTCAAAGCTTTTTTTAATACTGTTTACGTAAATAGATTTTTATATACGAGTACACCTGTATAAATATATATTTTTGTTTATTGTTTACGTTTACTCACAGAATAAAATACTTGCATAAGTTTTAGTGCAATTTATATGCATAATTGCATGTTTATTATTTAAAATACATCTATGAATAATATTAAAAATATGATAATGAAACAATCGGCAAATAATTATTTACTAAAATTATTAACGAATATGAATTTGATCACTCCTTGTCAATGTTTTCTTTTCCAGTATTAACTTCAAATTATACGTCAAATTTAAAGCTGTTTCTACTCTTATATTTAATAACCGTTATATTAGAGACATTAAAAAATATGACACTATATTAAAGTAAAACAGTTGTAAATTAAATAAATAATCAAAAGATACTATATACGTACTGTATTTTTTAATCTTTGCTGAAAGCCCTGGGTATTCACGATATATCGTCTATAGGGGAAAAGATGCAAATCCACAAGGACACTCGCGCACAGCGATAAAGTTTAATTTAGTTTTCGTGCGCGATTTATCTAATTATGGCCAGCCACAGACATGCGGAATTCCAATTCGGGATTCTGAACGCAGCAAGTCCATATTAAATCAAGGATCACACATAATCGACCCGTTCATTCCGTTGCGCAATACCGAAATGGAATTCCGTATGAAGTGTGTGGCGGGCCTACTAATATTTATGTAAGCTATTAAGGCCTGCCACATACATACTGAATTCCGTTTCTGAATTCCGATTTGAGATCCGAACACAGCAAGCTCATACAAAATACAGGGCCCGTCACAAACCTACGGTAGCTTTCCGTTCGAAATTTTGCGGGACGTTAAGCGTAGCGTTTAACGCGGCACGGAGCGTCAAAGGATTTTTTCGTGAAGAAAAAAAAGAAGATTTAAGACGTTATTTTAATGATCTTAGCGCTGATAATCCTTTATTTCAACATGTATGGACCGATCCATCTCGCGTGACACCGCGACATGATGCTGCACGTTACGGCGTTCCAATGGATGCCGCGGCACGTCAAGCCTCCAATGGACCACAGCATTCATTTATCATAATAAATTAAAAAAAGGTTTTAGACTTTTTTACTTGTACAGCGATTTAAAACTACAACTATGACAAGCACCTCAACTCTTGTCAATGGCAACTACAATATCATTGGTTAAAAATGTTAAAAATTAAAAAGTTCAAACTTGCACTTACCTACACTACGAAAGACACACCACCGTCTATATTACAATAATTGTTTTTTGTGTTGGAATTAGTGGTAACGTTGATAATATACGCAATTCAGGGAGTTCAGTAGCTGTTCTTCAAACCAGGTAAGACTCATGGAATCTTAGGTGATTAATTTTTAACGTCTTTATTATAATGGATTTCCGCAAAGTAACGCCTGATTTTTTGTATCAATTACTTCATTGATGACGTCGCAATGATTCCGAGCTATGTTTTTTAACAACGGTACATTTAAATTGGCAACTTTATTTTTTTATTATTGCAATGCATTTTATAAAGTTTTTTTTAGCAAGTTATCGATAATTCGTACCACTATTATAAAGTTGTTAATACGTTTTTTACGTTAACTAACGTTATTTTTAATGGGATTTAGTTTATTTTTAGTCCTGCCACCGTATATTAGGCTTAAAACACAGATCGTTTGCCACCACACTGTATTTGCCTATAAGTTGTCTTTCTTAATTCATCAGGTCTTTATTAAGTAACTAAGCATGTACATTTTACATTATAATAGCTCGTTAGAGTAGTCTGCTAGTTTGATACAAGTAGCGGGTTTCCGTAGAGAATAAATAAATCTGAATCCGGAGGCTTGTTCAGCTATATATATATATATATATGTGTGTGTGTGTGTGTGTGTGTGTATGTGTGTGTGTAAACATCCCCGCGATAGAAAATATAATCGCAGATGGATTATCTCTTTCCCGATTTTTATGATATGCCGATTAATTTCTAAACTCACTTTATAACGACGTTATTTCAGACATCCAACAAGACAAGCGGGGAAATTATATCTGGAAATGATTACCGGCCACGCGACCCACATGGGTTGTGGAATATCAGCATACGAGGAATACACCTACAGGAATAACTACGCTGCTTTGAACTATAATGCAAGTATACGCGTTTATTATAAAAATGTAAAAGGATACAGCCTAATTAGTATTTACATCCTAATCACAGTGCACACAAAGTGCACGGGCAATAGCGCATTTAATAGAAGGTTTTAGAACGGGAAAGAAACCGCAGTGCTGTCACAAAGCGTATCGGTCTTCAAATATTATCCTTGATTTTTTTAATTTGTTTCCATTTAGGAGAATTTCAGGAATTTTAAGAAAGGGACGATCACAGACCTCCTCTCATTTCTAAGACGACTACAGAGGATTTCACATCAACATGTAAAAGTTTATAAGACTATAAATATTTTGATTCCTTTTACATGCAGATTTCACCCTCCCCGCCAAGCACATGGTATAAGAGTACTTAAAATTGCAATTAAAATTTGCTCTCTTGCTATAAAGTCTACAGCTAGCGCTTAATCTTTGAGCTATATCATGATAGCATTTTAATAATTAATATGTCAACGTAATAGACCAACATTTGATCAAGACCCCATCTGATTATAGATTGTGATAGGTGCCTGAATGCCTAACCATTGTTGCATCAAAAGTCCCAAAAAAATGAATTCTAATCGTTATTACGTGCCTTTAAACCAGCTTCTAAAGTTCAGGGGTACGTCAACAACAAAGGAGTAAACAGTTGAGGTTCACAATGGATGTGAGTCCTAACGAATGCAGTACTTTGCACTAGTGTGCAAACGTTGTTTGTAAATTTTCTAATACTCACCACGCTGCTACAGCACGGGTAGGTAGTTTTTTTTTAATGGGATAGGGTGACAAACGAGCACACAGTCCACCTAAGTAAGTGGTTGCTGTGGCCCATAGACATCTACATTTATCCTCGATTACGAATCAAAATGCAGATGCGTTGTAGCCCGTAAGGACTAAGATGGAATGCCTCTTTTCCAGTAAAAAGGGTCTCCGGTTCTCTACACTCACCATACGAAACACAGCAGCAATAAGCTATTATTTTACGCCCCTACTATTTTTACCCGGTCGAGCCGACCCATTCGTGCTACAACTATAATACTAATATAACTGCAGCATGGCTCTACCACGTGAATAATACCCTCTAACTGGTACTCGTAATGCTGTCGACCATTGTCATTTACAACATTTATGTCAAGGTTTTGCATATTCTTTTTTGATTTTGTATATAAATATTTAGAAAGAGAAATTTAGAGAGTATGTAAAGCAACTTTTACTGGTAAAGAGTTATACTTTTTTAGTTCTTAGAAGTGACAATGCATCAGCATTTTGATCATCATTTTTGATCGAGGATAGATGTAGATGTCTATGGACCACAGCATCTACTTGTGCTACAAGCTGCAACAACACAGGTCAACTGTGTGCTTGATATTAGAAATCGATTAATATTACAGTCCGTTCAAGTAGTATGCAACTTTTCGGCTCGCCCACGTCCTGGAGGTCTGGTATACAACACAGAACCTCCAAGTATCACATCGCCTGGCACTCAGTGTGGATGCCCTGTTGGTTACGATGAAGACGAAGACTGTCTATGTAATGAAAACCCCAATTATACACGTATGTAAAAATATTAAAGTTAGTAAATAAATTAAAGATTAGAAAAATCAACGATATTAGGACTCATATTTCTGTTATATATTGTTTTTGTGGATTGATGGGACCGTCTTAAACACATATTCATATTACGAAGCAGCAGTGCGACCACTGCTGTATTTCAGCTAAAATAGCAAGAGGCGTTATGAGACATGCCATATTGGTCCTTAGGGTGTCCCTATATTTTATATGCTATTATATACTATATTCTTTGTTTGAAGTCGGTTGCAGTGGTAAATGGTAGGTACAGTACTTACCTGAATTAGTGACAATTTTAGCTTGTTTTCCATTTTAATATTTAAAAAATAAAGGATTTTTTTAAATATTTTTAAGGCACTAAAAAAACAACTTCCTGCATATCTTACTAGTTCGTAATACCTTCTAGTATTTATGAGGCTGTCAAGAACCTTCCCTCACCTTCAAGCTATATGGCCGGCCCATTGCTACTTTAGCTTATAGACCCGTAGGCCTACGTCGAAAGATGTGATTCTTCTGCAAATATCCTCATTAAAAAGTCTATTACTCAAATAAACACAGAGTACAGCCCTTGCATAGCTCGCTGAATGACCTTAAGCTTCCTTATATGGCTAGACGAGACCCAATATCTTTGAATTCAATTTCATGATAACCGTGGGACGATCTAGGCTGATGAATAATATACCATCACCATATGGATCTCCTCATATATTTTAAGGGTTTTAATACCGTCAATCCGTGTGATTAGTGTGGTGGAGTTTCTAAAAGACTTAAAGTGGCAGTTTCCCCTGGTAATAAGAGAGTCAGGTCTTTTTTCTCCCTAAGGGATATCAATGAAAGTGTCACAATCAATCCAGTGAAGAAACGCAGCCAGTGTTTATGTAACTATAGCGCAAGTATTCTTTTTCTTCTTTATCGACCCGTAGATGTCTACAGCTCGACTTGGGCCTTTACTGTTGTGGGGAGAATTTTCCTTAATAGTCACGCTTGGTAGTTGAATAACGGCAATCACGAGAGAGCAGACGTCTCGTAGTACTGAAACAGCTTCCCTTCGTCAATCTGCATTCTTGAAGTTAACTGAGAGTTATCGACTAATATCGATTAAAACTACTTTTACGGATTTTATAGCGTTTAGTTTACTTGGTTTTTAATTCCTGACGACGTTTCTGGTGCTTTTCAGCACTCATGGTCACGGGTTTACGGATTTCATCGTGTTTAATTTACTTGGTTATTAATTCCCGAACATATTTCGGGTGTAATGACCAAGAGTGCTGGAAAGCACCTGAAACGTCATCGGAAATTAAAAACCGAGTAAATTACACATGATATAATCCGTAAAAGTAGTTTTAATCAATGTGTAGTGTACGCGTAAATGTAAGAAATCATTATGACTTGTGTAGCCATAATGATTTCTTGATATATTTTTTATTGATATTAATTTTGTATATAAGTTAATATTATTAAATATTCCTGCAGCACAATAGATGATGTATTAATAGGGAGGTGGTCAATTTTACTTCAGCAGATAACATTTTTATTTCAGCTTCTCCTAAACAGAAGCTACGTTCGTGTAATGGTAAAAACTGCGTGCCAGCAATTGTTTTATTGCCAATAATTGCAATGGAAGACGCGCCGCCTACTATATTAACACAAAACAGGTAAAGCTTATATGTATCTAACTCTAAATATTTAACGTGCTAAGACTCTTTTCCTTCAAAAAGCTACCCTTAATTATTAATTTACTACTTACTAGATTTACTTTACTTACTATCAAAATCTATTGCTGAACCAAGGTCTTCTCAGATGGGCTCAATATTAATATTTATTAATATTTGAATATTTGCATTGTAGCCATTTGGATTTAATTTGAGTTGTTAATATATTTTAGCCTTTTCGAGGGGACTAAAGAATATTACAAGCTCTAGATAACAACTAGATTTTCGTCTTAAGTTATATATATATATATATAATATTAATGCTCCTGAAAACATCTGTTTACTACTTCTTGTCTTCCTTATTTTTCATTAAACATATAAAAATAGTATATAAACTCTAATACCATTTTGTACGTGGTAGAGATATACTTTGCATATAAGTCTTAAAAAGCTTTTTATTGCACGCAGATTTTTTTAGAAAATTAGTGTTGCAATCGATCACACAGTCCACCTAATGGTAAATGTATCATGTATCTTTAAGATTAATCAATTAAAGATTAAATAATAAAATGCGGATGCATCCCTGAGATTTAAAATGTGATCTCGTTTTCACTAAAATGTGTCTCCGGTTCTCTACGCTCATCATACAAAACACATTGGCACTACGCTGCTGCGGTATTCTGTGAGAACGTGACAACTTTACCATATTAGTGTAACAATATAGCTGCAACGTGGCTCTCCCATGTGTACGTATGTAGTTAGTCGCATACTACAAAATTTACATTGAGAGCTTCACATTGTAATTTATATTGTTTTTCCATTTATTTATATTGATTGATATAGATATTGATTAATCAGCAAATAACACATCAGGTTTACAAACAGAAAAATATTAGATTATTAAATTTCTGTTAAGCCGAATGTCATTTTAAATATATTACAAATCACTGCACTCAAGTTTACAAAATTAAAGAGATTCCGAAGGCGATCACTTACAACTGGTGAGCCATATGAATACTTGCCTCCTTTTCTATATAAAAATAATCCGTCATCCATTTTCAGATTCAATAATGACACCATAGATGTGACAGGCATTTTTGAAAATTTCAACAACGATAAAACTAAGAAAAATTCTGCCATAAAAGAGGTAACGATTTACCTTCTAAGACTTTAGACCCCTAATACTTTTTAAAATAATTCAAATAATTTCTCTAACAAATTTTGTGTAGTGTATAATTTCTTAAATTTTATACTCGATGATTTTTTTACTGCCTGAAAAAAATAGGTAAGCTATGAAAAACAGGTAAGTGGAATAGAAGCCTACGTCACTAATATTTTACGATCTTTTGCTTTTATATTAACATATTATGAAATTGAACCATCAATAAATACCACTAATTTGAAATAAACTTTCGGTAATAAAAAAAAATTTAAAAACTTTGAACTAAATAATTAAATCAATTAAAAATAATTAAAAAAAAACAATCGAAACTAAAATAATGGGTACCCAATTAGTAGAATTTATAGATAGATCAATTTTATAATACGTTAATGTAAAAAAAATGTAAATTATCAATGCGCGGCTTTTATACCGTTTACCTGTTAAACCCTATTTTTTCAAGACGGTAAAAAACATCCAGTATAGGTATGAAATGAAGGCATAGGTTTAAGAAGAGCTGTGTAAGGAGATTAAGCGCCTGCCCAAAAGTTACGTTGATACACGGGCCAACCAAGTACACGCCACTATACCTAACTATAAATTCTAGGTTATGTACTCTAATCGCCCTTGCAAAATCAATTCCACGTATTGATCTGACGATTCATACTAAAATCAAACGTAATGCAACCAAGTTCTAGTGCAGACGAAATAGCCGTTGGAAACACGTTGTGCAGCATTTTACTCGATAGAAAATAACGTGAAGCTACGTCTTGTTTTGATAATTACATTACTTAAGTAAGCCGTGGTGACTCAGGGGCTAAGTGCTCACTGTAAATTTCACAGTACGCGAGCAACCCGGGTTCGATCCCCGCCGGCACCAATATAATTGTTTAATTGCAATTTAAAGCACTGATTTACCACGTGTTCGGCGGTGAAGGAAAACATCGTGAGGAAACCAGCATAGATATGCTTTTGATTTATGAGAAATAAGAAAAAAAATTTCGAAGGCATCTGAAGTTCGCCAACATACATGGCGAGCAGCGTGGCGTACTTCCTTGCCTCAAAACCCTCTCAGAAATGAGAGGAGTCCTGTGCCCCGATGTGGGACGTAGAAGGGCTGTAACTTTTTACAATACATAATAAGTTACAATATACTAAAATATGCTCGCTAAGATCAGATTCTGCCTTTACTTTCGTAAACATTCTTTTCACAACTCAAGATGAAAACTTCATTTATATATACGGTGACCTGTATGATCTCGTAATTAGATCACGCGCGAACTTGGGCTGCACTAAATTCCTTCTACAGCAGTATAGGAGGGCTCTATAACAACCTGAAAAACGTATACGAAGAACGTGAGTGCGTAGAAAACAATTTCCTAAACAAATTAAGCATGTGCCATTTTTTTTTACTATTGACTTCACCGGTATCATTAATTACACTCATCACGAATATTGAGGGTGAAGCTTGAATCGAAATCAACTGAGTAAATAACGGAAATGTAAATTCTAGAATATGAATATATATATATATACCGTGGTCCGTGTGGTAAACATTATTAACGAACTGTACATATATGCAAAAGATGTTGACAAGATAACAGTTTTTTTCTCGCCCAATGACTTAGTATAATTAGCGGGAAAACTCATACAGCGTTACCACGGGGCTTATATTTATATGATCAATAGTTTTTAGATTTTTGAAGTGAAAACTGCTTTAGCGGCGTTGTACACTTTTTTGTAATGGGTAAAAAATGTTAAACTAGCGTCAGGACACGTGACCTGACCGAAAATGCGTAAGACGGACGGCGTAGGAGAGGAAGTATCCCCCTCTCTTTCTACGGCGTGGCGAAAATGTATGTCTGCGCCTGCTGTTTCGTTTAGGCGGCGCAGGGCGCTTGCGCGAATGTAATATAAATTGTCATGTTTGTGTACGATAGCGCAATAAATAAATGTTGTATTCTACCACATAAATGATAGTACTTTTATACTGATAATTAAAGCAATTCGTGCAAAATTATTCCCTAACCATTCCAAAATATCAAAAATGCACAACGTTAATATTCAAGTTTTCATTTCTGCCGGCACTCTCGGAGTGCAACCCGTTGTTTTTTTTTTCATAAAATTATTGATATACGTAACATACTCGTAAATATCATTTGTATTTAAATATTAGAATAATATTATTCTACCATTTGTTTTACCATTGCTTTATATCAACCTGTAACCCTAAAGTTTTTTCAGGCTAACCAACGTAACGACTTCGAAGAGATGCTACGTGAGGCCAGCAGTAATTTGCAACAAGCGGGGTAATTTAATTTATACATTCTCATTCACGCCTCACACTTCTCAAGTTTAATTATACTTATTTAAATATATATATATATATATATATATATATATACACAGTGGACCCCCTTTGATCCGACAAACAATTTGCAGGGCAGTGTCGGACTATTTAAATTGTCGAAATATAGAGTATTAATGATTTCTTAAATTTACGCGAACACTACACATTGAATAAAACTAAATTAACGGATTTTATGGCGTTTATTTAACTGATTTTACTTATTTTTAATTCCCGACGTTTCGGGTGCTTTACAGCACCCATGGTCACTGGGGGGACTGAGATGTTTGACGTTCCAATGTCATAGTTAGCCCGGCTACCTTCAGTTTTTTAATATTAATTTTTCGGTCCGATTTACGCAAAACGAGCTTACAGTATCTTGAAGTTTTGCAGTGGTATGCTTGGGTTTGGGTTTAATTTTGTTAATTATAGGATCCCAAGCAGATGGCAGCACCCATCCATCTTCTTTATTGAAATTAGGATATTTTTTAATTTCAATAGCCTCACGTATCATCCTTGGTAGGAATCAGTGTGTTCTTTTGCGAGGACTTGTGGTTTATCAAATCTGATGTAATGGTGGGGATGATCATAGGGGATGCTGGTGGGAAGTCTGCAGTCTGTGAACATGTTCAAGATACCCCCCCAAGATGTCCCCACTGTATATATATATATATATATACATATATTAGGGATGGGCCGAATATGGTATTCACCGAATACCAATATTCGGCCGAACGTTCGGTAAAATTTTTACCGAAAACAATATTCGGCAGAACATTGTTCGGCAGGATTACCTCGGTACCTAACCAATTTATGTCGAAACTTGCTACCGTAAAGCGCGCGGGATTAGCGCCAGAGCCTTCCCCTCGCTCCCCTGCCACAATTGACATGTTATTGCATCATCTAGTACTGAGCAAATTGCCGGCACATTATTATGTTCTGACTATTTTTGTGAGAAAAAAAGTATTCTTAGTGAAAATTGATAAGTATGTGATAAAAATGGGTGGCAGGAGACTATTTGGACCAATTTAAGAGAAACTGATGACTGTAATATAATGTTTCTTTGTTTGATTCCAAGCAAAATTTTATCAAGCTTTCTATTTGCTATAATTGGAAAGAAATCTACAGTGCCTCAAAAACATATCTTATTATACAAGTAAATTTAACCCATAAATAAATATACTTTCAACAGTAAAATTATGAAAGATATGGCAATACTCAATTCGTACATTTCCATACAGTGGATACTTTGAGTACCAGTTTAACGAATATTCGGTGATTTAGCCGAATATTCGGCTGAATACGAATATTCGGTAAACTTGCCGAATATACCGAATACCCAATATAAAACGAATTTCGGCCCACCTCTAATAAAACCCACGAACTCACTTATCACGAGATCTCCAAAACTATATGCCCGATTGACTTATACTCTTTTAACCACTCGAATGTCGGGGTCATTTTGACCAATATGGCGCATCTGTCGAGCACTCTCCGAAGTACTTAGTATATAACAAGTATACTAATTATATATGTATATATATATATATACTAAGTAAGTATATTGAAATCATATATCAATGGAAACGTTATTAAATAAGCTATCAGATAATGTATAGCAGATATATCTATCTTATATATGTCACAAATAGTTTGCTATCACTCGACGTCATATTATGGTGTTTGACAGATGCGCATATTAATTGAGACGCCAGAATATGGCGTTTGTACAGACGTGGGGTTAACTATGTAAACACCCATTAAGAAAAGCTTTTGGAACATTCAACCCCTAAGGGGGTGAAACAGGGTGTTACAGCATGTATTAAATACTTTTTATACTTATTCAAAACTAGCGACCCGCCCTGATTTCGCCTGGATGTGATCTACTAATTTGGCGATTTGTTTTTAAATAATCATATTGATGATTTGAAAAATTTATAAAATAAATGGCCATTGGACCATTTATTTTATAAATTATATAGTAGTAATTATATAATAGTCCTCACGGGTGACAACACATCTGCATTTTGAATCTTAATCGATAATAAATGTAGGCCACAGTAACCACAAGTGGACTGTGTACCCGTTTGTCACCCTTATTCTATAAAAAAAAGTAAAAACCGAAAGAAGCCAATACTTGAGTACAATCCCACATACTGTAGATGCTATAAATATACTGTTGTAAATTTGCCTCCAATATTTAAGATAAGATTAATTATAAATGTAAACAGGTAATTTGTACCTCAAGTCGATTATAATGCCAATAATACCTATTAATGTTTCAGATCACAAACAAACAATGAACCGTCGTGGAAAACGCAAAATGTATACGTTGCGAAAACCCCTTTGATATCACGAACTGAACTTCAGGCACAATCTATTCATAAAGGCCTTGATCACGTTCGACCGAGCGCGGTAAGACCTATTTCATTAACATTAAACAATGCCGTAATTATTATATAATATATCTATGTAAACAAAAATATAAATGTCTGTTTAATCAAAATCTCAAATCACCGAAATTTCCTCACCGACTGCTTTGAAATTATAACACAATGTTACTTTCGAATACACTTTTTGAAAAACAACGCCATCTGTTGGACGTAAAATCAACATTTTTTTCTTTTACTTATCTTTAGACTGCAGACATAATATGTGGACATTCAATTATATCATAACAAAATAATAATTTATGATATAATTTTATACTTTGAATGCTATAATTTGCAATAAGCTAATAAGATTTTACAAACTAATTAAGATTTTACAAACTAATAACATTTTTTATTCCGGTTGCTCGTAAAGAGACCTTCCTTAATACAAAAGCTATTAATATTAGGGGTATCTATTAGCGATAAAATTCCGCCTTAAATTTCTGACTAAATTTCCGGAAATCACTCAAGTGAAAATACTGTTACATTTTAATTGGTACGGAATCAATAATTCACGTTAATTAAAATATCTTCTTCTCGTCACTGCTTTAGTAGAATTTCAGGATTAATACCCGTCTGAACCAATGAAATTTTTCTCCTCTCTGAAATGAGATGAAGGACAAATTTAGGCTGTAACTTTACCTACTAACTAGTAGCAGTATATCCATTATACGATTAAATTAAGCCCAAAGTCAGACTGGTTATGGAGAGTAGAATTTCTAGCTTCTTTATTCATTCATTATAGTCTATCCAAATAAACACACGATTTAATGGCGGTAGTGACGGTGTAAGAATATCCATTACCCCACATCATCCCGTGGGTGTCGTAAAAGGTTACAGAAGGAAATAAATCAGGAGAGGAGGCAGCAGCGTCTTCCTAATGACGACTCAAAATCAAAAACGCTTCCTAAGCGTGGCAACTGTGGCAAGCATCCCTCCTGTGAAATAAGCTATGGTGGAGGCGTATATTCAGCACTGGACTTAAATAGACTGTAACGATAACCGCAATAGAAATAGCGGTATCTTTATGGAGCAGCACTTTACGTAATTACGACGCTTGGCAGGCGACTTAGCGACCGCAGTTCCTTATTATCTTGAACTGTTATGAGGAAGATGCTACTGATCTTCTCTTGCTTCATTTCTTTCTGTCGTTTTTACGATACTTACACTTACACTTACTTGATATTGTGTTGTGGACACTATTTTTTTTTATATAGAATAAGGTGACAAACGATCAAAATGCAGATGCGTTGTCACTCGTGAGGACTTAGGTGGAATGCCTCGTTTCCAGTAAAAAGGGTCTCCGGTTTTCTACACTCACCATACGAAACACAGCAGCGTTGAGCTGCTATTTCACGCTGGTATTCTGTGAGAGCGTGGTCCTTCCCCGGTCGAGCCGACCCATTCGTGCTACAACTATACTACTAATATAACTACAGCATGGCTCTACCACGTACAAAAACCGACGCTATATGGCGAGACCAGTGCCATGTGTATAGGCAAATTTTATAAGTAATTCATTACAGCTGATGTATTTTTGAAAAGGTTTACGTATTATTCGTCGCTTTTTATGTCGTAAAATGCTAAGTTTAATGTAGATACTAGAAAGTGAATATACAGCTCAAATAGGTCCCGTTGCTAGAAAATGGCCTCTACTCATTTCTTTTGAAATTTGTAAAGTAGAGGAGATCCCGCGGTCTAATGCAATGCCTGTTGGTGGAAATTACTTGTCTTTAAAATAATTTGTAATTGTTAGACCTGTAGGTTTCCACAAATTTTTTACTTGGTTGCTGACGAGGTACTTAATCTGTAATTAATTTACATTATTGGTGGTATCGGCGGTGATTGAACTGCGATTGCTTGAGAAATATTTCTTACTACTCAAGCAATCGCAGTTAAATCACCGCATTGTTATGAGTAATATTATATTATTTTGACACATATAATAATTTATACCTCTATGTATATTTCTTATTTAAGTAATTAGTAAAATATGAGTTTCATAACAAGATATATCTGTATAAGCCCTTATTTACTTTCAGAATAAAAATGCAAGAAAAAGCTTATTTTCAAAGGTTCACAAATTTGAATTACCCATAAAAACACAAATTAAAAAGGATGTACAACCGAGAAAAGATTTTTCAAAAGTACAAAAACTTGTGAAAACGTATCTGAGTACAAAAAGGAATTCCGATAAAACACTATCAAATAACGAGCAAAAGATCAATAGACGTGTAAATATACAATCTTTGAATTTAAGTGATTTGAAAGCAAAAGTAAACACAGCTGATGCAGAGAAACCAATTTCACAGCGCTATCAAATATTTAAGGATAATCTCCATGACGATATTGTAATTGACAATAATTCCATCTCTAATTTATATTTAAAAACATCCAATGAAGATACTGATAAGAAACTTATGTATTTACTAGACAATTTAGAACAAGAAGTTAATCATATTAACCTGAATCAAACTGAAAAGGAAATTTTGGATGACAAATTGAGAAAAATATACGGACGCATAAGCAATAAACCAAAAGATTTTATATCATCTAAAAAGTTTAAAGATGCTAACGAAGTTGAAAAAAGTGATTTTCTTAAATTTGAAAATACTGTAAATGAGCATTTGTTAAACGAGAGAAGAAATAATGCTAAAAAGCATGTGGGTGATATTTTCAAAGGAGATATATCTAAGCGACGTTTAATTACTGATAGTAATCATTTAGATGTGCATAAACGATTGTTAATCAAAGAAAGAAACAGTAATGAGGACTTTGGACCTTTAAAGAAACGGTTAGAGAAGCCCATCAATGAAAATGATTATAACATTTATTCTGATTTAAAATATATTAACAGAATACTTTCTAGAAACCGAAACGCTCTTGTGGAATACGATGATCGATACAGCAAAAAATTACGTGATTTAATTAGCAATGGAAATTTTGATGAAAATCTAAACAGACGTGATTCCAGAATGCCCGACTTGCGAGATGAAAAATATGCATATAAAAACTACAATGAAATAAGGCAGAAAAATTATTATCCAAATCATTTAGACAGTGAAAGTCAAATGAGTTACGATAGACGAAAGTATTACCAGGAAAAAATAAATTATTTAGAACAAAAACTACAAAAAGCAAGAAGCCGACGGCGTCATAACAAAGTGAGTAATTATATTCCATAACACATAAATTCTCACGCCTGTTACCCAGAGGGGTAAGCAGAGACTACTTGCGTCAATTTGGCACAACTCTGATACAGCTCTCGTGCTTTCCACACAGTTCCGAGCATGATGGCTTACATAACGTATACATACCCCTCGGTTAAGAGCACCCTTAATTTGTCTATCATTTCATCAGTTTGATCGATGAACTAAAGTGTAGAATAGATAGTGTAGGTAGATGAATTAAATAACAATGCGTAAAATACTAGCCCGGGTTCGATCGTTAATTGCAATTTTAAGTGCTGATTTACCACGTGCTCGGCGAAAAAGGAAAACATTGTGAGGAAACCTGCATGTCTGAGGAATATGAAAAAAAATTTTCGAAGACATATGAAGTTCGCCAACACGCATTGGGGGCTGCGTGGAGGACACTTCCTTGCCCTAAAACCCTCTCAGAAATGTGGGGAGGCCTGTGCCCATCAGTGGGCGTGTATAAGCTGTAACTTTACTTTTTTTTTACTTTATATGTATTTATGTTAATTACACAATATAAGATATATTAAATCTACACAGAACAGAACATTTAGTCCCGTTAAAACTTCCATAAAGCTTCTATTTTAGATTTGTACCATTTAGAAATGTCAAGAACTGAAATGATTTTTTAAATTTCTTATTAGAGGAAATTTAATTTTTATGTTTCTTCTGATAAACACTGTTTACTTTTGTGTTTGTTAATAACATATTATTTTTTCTTACAGCCCGATGGAGATCGTCAATTACGACCTGTTCAGCCTGATAGACCAATGCAGACGAAAACTGAAAAAAACGTTTTCTATGTGCCGGATAGGGCCCGAAGTGTTCATGGATTTTAATATACTCGTAATACATTTTAGTAGGCTTCAAAAGCTTCTCCCTTATCTTTGTTGATACATTTGGTCAAACATCATTCATAATCTTTCTTACATAAAAAAAAGAAAAATATTTGTCTTAACAGAAATCAAACTAAAAAAGTGTAATCTTAAAATTAGAGAAAAGTTTCAGATATAAACACAAAGTGATCAGTAAAACGGTACCAGTTGTTAGTCGGCCGTGGTAAAAATCAAGGAACTCGCCCCCGCTGTTCAAACGCCTGTCGTTATACGCGATTTAAGTAAATATTTTTGGAAATCATGCTCTTGTTTTGTTTATATAGTTATAAAGCTAATGTTTATATAGTTATAAAGCATGTATCTAAATATCTATTTCACTACAGTCAAGGTTTAATGTTAGAAATTGCCTTAGGGCATTCAGTCCATCATTTGTAAGCTTTAAGATAACACAATAAAGAGTACTTTATTAAATTTAGTAAAAATGTGATTATTATCGTCTCTCTAATATGTAAACTTCTTCTTTTCATCCTTTACACAGTGGCTTTATTTTTATACAATAATATTAAGTAAATCTACGAAATATCAATGAGCCGTGTTTGTTTAGGGGCTAAATGCTTGCTGTGAATTACATAGCGCGCGAGCAGCCATGTTTGACGCCCGAATGGTGACGACTGAAGTTAATTATAATTTTAAGTGCTGATTTACTACATGTTCAGTGGTGAAGAAAAACTTCGTGAAACCTGCATGCTTGAAAAAATTAATTTTTCCCTTCCTTAAGTCCTTCCTGACTTCCTGACCCTTTAAACCTGTCAAAAATAAAGGATAGCTGCGCCTAGAAGGCGTTTGCAGGCAGTATCTTTCCTTTTATTCAATCTCAATTAATCTCACTCAATTAACAAGATTTTAATAAACTTGACCTACAACAACATTTGATTCAATTACGGCAGTTTTTTTACAATTTGTTAAATAAATTAACTTAAAATTTGTATTTCATAAAAGAAAAAATTTAAATACACTCCAATATTTGTAAAACAAAAAAAAATATATCATGATATGGTGATCTCATTTCGCCAACACGCATCAAGGCAACGCGGAGAAATTTCTTGCTCTAAAACCCTCTCTGAACTGAGAGAAGGCATGTGCCCAGCCGTTTCCTCCTCTTCTTTAAGTGCCTCTCCATTACTAAAGGTCAGCTGTTGGGCGTACCTAACTATGTACCAGGCGGTCCCATAATGAACTGGCCTGATATAGTTCAACGCGACATGTCGCTACATGTTGTGTTGCATTAAATAGTACGTTTATCGTGCACTTAATATAAGAAACATGCATCGACATGAAATGCTTAGTCTTAGTTTAACAGGCATTTGAATAACGAGAGTCACGTATTTTTTCAAAATGTCGAAAACTGAGTATCGAAGTGTCATAAAGTTTCTGTTTAAAGAAAGTTTATCCCCTGCCCAAATAAAAGAACGATTGGATGGCGTGTATAAGAAGTCTGCCTCCTCCTATAGCACAGTGAAAAATTGGGTGAAAGAGTTTCGCCTCGGGGAGAGAAACCGTCGAAGACTTAGGCCACGACGGTCGACCTGTGGAAGTGCTCACTCCCGAAACGATTTCTTTTATCGAAGAGGAGGTTCTGAGTGACCGCCGTTTGAAGATTAGAGAAATTGCAGCAAGGCTTGGGCTCTCTAAGAGTACCGTTTATCGCGCGATCCATGAACATCTTCACATGAAAAAAGTGAGTGCAAGATGGGTACCGAAACTTCTTTCAGCGGTACAGAGACAGGAAAGAGTGCGCTGCGCTTCGGAGTTTTTGGATCTTTGTGGCGAAAATCCAAATACTGTGATCGAGCGGCTAGTGACTGGTAATGAAACTATGATCTTGTATTATGATCCACAAAGCAAGCGCGAGTCAATGGAAAGGCGTTATAAGGGTGAAAAGCCCCCTAGAAAGGCAAAGGTGCAACAATCGACTAAAAAACTGATGTGCACAATATTTTGGGATTTTCAAGGCATTTTGATGGTGGATTTTAAAGAACGTAATACAGTCGTGAACGGCGAATATTATGCTTCTTTAATATATAAATTACGAGACAAGATAAAGGAAAAACGAAGAGGCAAGCTGTCTAAAGGTGTCCTGTTGCTCCATGACAACGCCCCTGTTCATACCGCTGGTGTTTCGAAGGATGCAGTTCATCAATGCGGGTTCACAGAAGTTCAACATCCACCTTACAGTCCAGACATGGCCCCGTCCGACTATTATTTATTTCCAAATTTAAAGCGGGACTTAAGAGGAAGACAATTTTCAAGCGATGAAGAGTTGCAGGCGGCCGTCTTCAGTCATTTTGAGGATAAAAAATGTGATTATTTTTATAAAGGTTTAGAGATGTAGATTCACAGATGTCAGATGTGTGTTAGTATTCATGGTGATTATATTGAAAAATAAAAGTGGTTTCGTTTCATTTCCTTCATTGGTTCATAGTTAGGCCAATTCATTATGGGACCGCCTACGTATATAGGTTGTAAGTAACTTTACTGTTTTTTTTTTTTAACTTTTAATCGGCGTTTGGAATTTTTACCTTATATTATATTTACTGTGATGAAACTAAATGATTTACATTATCAGAGATTTGATTGGATTGGATTATCGTTGAAAACAATTATCCATTTAAGACGGTTTTTATTGAATAATTTTTAAAATCGCACGCACACAACAAATTGAAAGCAGCGTATTTAGTTCACGGACTTACCCCTGAGGTGACCAATTAAGCTCCGTCTGCTATAATAATAAGAACATATTTAAAAATCCATTTCCGTTAATAATGATTTAACCCGTATAGTGGCAGCGCAACATAATCCATTATCGCATTTCATCAGCATCGTAGGAGGCGACTATGCAAAGGTCCAGGTCGTAAACGGCAGAACGGCAAAATTCCCAGACTGTCAACGGGGAGCAGCATCGAGACTGCGATAGGCAATTCACTCGCCAAGCGTAGGGTTTAAGGCGAATTGTCATAACAAGATAGAACCGTGCCCAACATTGGACTCTTGCACGCTGATGATGTAGATTCAATATTTTTTTAAACGTTAACCTTACACTAGGATTTTCTCCTGTATCGTGGGGGCAGTTTACAAACATAAATTGCACAAGGACAAACATCCAGACCCGGAACAACTATTTGTAGGCTATACAAGTACTTGTTCCGTGCGGGATTCGAACCCGCGACCCCCAGCGCAGCCATTCATTTCTAAACCACTGCGCCACGGAGTCGTCGCCGTATAATAAGTAGGATGAACCAAGTAGTGGCGATGTAAGAATATCGACAATCCCATATCGTCCCGTGGGTTTCATAAAAGGCGACAGGACAAAAATAAAACAGAATTCGGGCAAAATAATAAAAAACAGCGTTGCCAACCCGCTTGCCAAGCCTGGCAACTAAGGCAAAATCCTTCTTAAGAAACAATCTATGGAACAGGCTTATATTCAACAGATGACTTTTATATGCTGTATTGGATGAATTGATGGAGTTATTAGGTTGAACTAAAGGCTCTTAACTTAAACCCCTTGCCTATAACACGTATTTGATAAAATGGCAGTTAAATCCGACTTATTAAGTTACTTATTTATAAATACTTATCAATGTTTTAACAACAAAGTGTATCAACACGTATTAGAAGGCACACACGAAGGCAAAAAGTTTAAACAAAAGCAGTTTATTGAACCCTTTTTTAATCAGCCTCAAATTGCGGAACCACAAAGTTGTAAACGTTCGAAAGAATTTAGTATTTAGGAAATCGAATAATAAATTTATAATTACGTTCGCAAAGTTTAGAGTTTTGACAAAGTGGAATTGGAAATGGACGTGAAATACTTATCAATCTGTTTTCGCTTTATAATTATTATGTATTTATCAATTGGTTGTTCAGTAACAAAGGATTTACATGTAAAAGAGGTAATGGTATCTTTGTTTTTTATACAAGTATATGCAACAAACAATCACACGTTACATCTGGTGTTATGCGTATTTTGTGACTCATAAACTCTTGTGGCTCATAGAGCCTTGAGAAAAAGCGCATCTAAGTAGATCCGTCGTAGCTCAGGGCTCAAGTGTTCACTGTAAATTTCACAGTACGCAAGCAAACCGAGTTTTTCCTTGCCAGCATCAACTAAATTGCAATTTTAAATGCTGACTAACTCATGATCTGTGGTAAAGAAAAACATCATCCGAGGAATAAATTTTTGAAAGATATGGGAACCAGACTAATTGCTTAAAAACCCTTTCAGAAATAAGAAGTCAATGACTGTTACTTGTGGTTGTTCTTTTACTGTGACTGAGAAAAACTTGTCATGATCTATCCTCACTTTTTTATGATAATTCGGTCAGGTGTGGACTCTGAAGGTCAAAAAATAATGCCTCGAGCTGTACATCTTACGAACAACATAATCTATATAATATAATGAGAGAGCGTGATGACCAGCCGGGCAAACCCATTCGCACATAAAGCTGTAGCGTTTTTCTACCTCGTAACTGTCATCGCGTGATAATCATGCAACGTGTTTAGTTGAAGATTTGAAGTGAAATACTAAAACGCGCCATCTTTGCCCAAAAACACAATTATTTTTTGAAACTTAATATGTTATGATCACAATTCCCGTCTCTCTATACTGAGTCTGCCAACAATCTCTAGATTAGAACAAAAGAGTGTCTCTGTGACAATTCCCATCATTACAATAATAATATCTTACAATTAAAAGCTTACAATTGAAAATTAGTCAAAGCTAAGCGATAAGCGAAGTCTAGGGCGGCTAATGCGTGTCAATCTGATAAGAGATGCAGGAAGACGATAGGTTAGGCGATACCCCGACCAAAACCTTGTGAAAGAGCGTTTTGCAGAGACTATTATCTCATTAGTTATGAGAAATAAGCTACATCTAAAAGCACATTATTAATGTTCGATATCCTATCATCACATTCCACGTTCTAATTTGTTTTTATGTGTTA